GGATGATGAGCTGCTTGTGCGTAAAATCGTATCCCCTCAGAGTTTGTTCAAGTCCACAAACCTCTGTCTGTGACGGAGCCCCTCAGACATGGCTCCTCTTAGTCACTAGCAGATTCCGACAGTGGTAGCTTCGGAATCGCTTCCAACATAAAAGCTCCTTAACGGAAACACGTCTTCTGGACTCTCTGCGTGTCAGTTTCCGGCGAGGAGTGGGTGTCCCTACAGGAGGTCCTGAAACCTCCCCACTGTTTTCGCTGGAAGTGTCTCTGAGCCATCCCTCCAGCTCACTTTCCCTCCGCTCAGCTCCTCTCCCCTACTGGTTCCCTCTTCAGCTGCTGAGTCTCTCCCAACCTGTGTGAGCCCTTTCACCTCCCTTCCGTCCGATGGCAGTTCCCTGACATCCACCTCCCCTCCAGGGCCCCCTTCACCCCCTCTCGCCCCTCCTCTACGGGCGGTGAGGAGGTAAAACCCGGAATGAACTTCCTTCATCTTCCGATGTCTCGAACACTTCTCTCCACCTGTTGCGGTTCCTGGTCTCGAAGTACTCCTCCTCCTCAGAGTCCATCTCCCCTTCCCCTTCCGAGTCCGGGAAGCCTTCCAACTCCTCCTCCTCATCAGTGGTCCCAAAGTATTCCCTCCGGAACCTCTCCACAGGCTGAGGTTTCCTTGGGAACCTTTGATGGAACGTTTCTATCAATACCTCGTCATTGATATCTTCGGCCATTACCCAAGTGTTTTCTGACTCCGGTTCTCCTTCCCACGCTACCAAATACTCCACCTGATTCCCCTTCCACCTGGCGTCGAGGATTTCTGCCACATGGCTGCTGCATTCTCTTTCTTCTATGACCGGTCCCCGAGTGGCCATCCCTTCTCGTCCCCCGTCGTACGGTGACAGTAACGACCTGTGAAATACTGGGTGCAGTTTCATGTGGTTGGGTAACCGGAGCCTGAAAGCCACTGGGTTGACCTGTTGAATGACCTCAAAGGGACCCAACCTCCTGGGTCTTAATTTCTTACAACCTCCTTTGAACGGCAACCCTTGGGTTGACAGCCACACCCTATCTCCCACCCTTATGGTTTCACCTTCCCTTCGGTTCTTGTCTGCTTGCCTCTTGTATTCTTCCTTCGCCCTTTCTAAGTTGAGTTGGAGCTGACAATGGATTGCTTCCATTTCTTCTACAAAATGCTCGGCTGCCGGGACGCTCCATCTCTCCCCATCTCCCCCTGGGAAAGCCCTGGGATGACACCCATAATTAGCCAAGAAGGGGCTCATCCCTGTGGACACATTCTCGGCATTGTTGTAGGCAAATTCCGCCAGCGCCAACTTTTCTACCCAGTCATTCTCTCTGTCATTGACATAACACCTCAGGTATTGCTGGAGGACACCGTTTGCTCTTTCCGCCTGCCCGTTGGTTTCAGGGTGCCGGGCAGTCGAAAAATTGACCTCCACCTGCAGTAAGCTCATGAGCTTCCTCCAGAACCTGGAAGTAAATTGTTTTCCTCGGTCTGAGACCACCCTCAATGGCACCCCGTGCAACCTAAAAATGTGTTCTACAAATAACTTCGCTGTCTCTTCCGCCGTGACTGCATGCGAGCAAGCTACAAAGTGGCACATCTTTGTTAGTAGGTCCACCACCACCATGATGGCTGTTTTCCCTTTGGACTTCGGCAGATCAGTCATAAAATCTATCGACACTGCCTCCCAAGGTCGTTCTGGGGTTGGTAAGGGTTCTAATAGCCCCGCCGGCGCCCGCCTTTCCCCTTTGGCTCGCTGGCATTGCTCGCACCCTCTTACATACTCACGTACATCTTCCCTCACCTTGGGCCACCAAAATTCCCTGGTGACCAACCACATGGTTTTGTGTTGTCCAAAATGCCCCGCCGTAGGGCTGTCGTGCAACTGCTTGAGTACCCTCCCCTTAAGTCTCCTTCAGGGATATACAGTGCCCCTTTGTAATACAAAGCTCCATTTCTTTCCTCGAAACCCCTGGTTCCTCTCCCTCACCCCTAAGACCTCTGAGCTTATTCTGGGCGTATTCATCATTCTCTGTTTCCTCTACCAGTTCTCTTTGTCCCACCAATGCCGCCCCACACACCCAGCGGTCCTCTGGAATGACATGTCTCTCTTCGGTGCTCCTCCCCTCCAAATATTCAGGTTTGCCTGAGAGAGCGTCCGCCCTAATGTTCTCTGGGCCTGGCACGTAACAAATCTCACAGTTAAATTTGGAGAACTCCTGGGCCCATCTCACTTGCCGTTGGTTGAGCACTCGTGCCGTCCTCCAATACTCTAGGTTCTTGTGGTCAGTGCACACTTGCACCTTATGTTGTGCGCCAATTAGCAGGTGCCTCCATCTCCGGAACGCCTCATGAATGGCTAGTAGTTCTCGGTCATACACCGTGTAGTTCCTCTCGGATTTGTTCAGCTTTCGCGAAAAAAGGCACACGGTCTCCACTCTGACTCCTCCTTCCCTGGCTGCAGAAGCACCGCCCCAATCGCTCTGTCTGATGCGTCAGTTTCCACTCTCATCGGTTTTTGTAAATCCACATGCAGGAGTTGTTGTTCCGAGGCGAAGGCCCTTTTAGTTCCTCAAATGCTCGCTCCGCCTCCTCAGTCCAAACGAACTTCTTCTTACTGCTGAGACAGTCCGTAATGGGCGCCGTCAGGTGGGCAAAGTTTCGGATGAACTTACGATAGAAGTTCCCAAATCCTAGGAACCTCTGCACATCCTTCCTTGTTTTGGGTGTTTTCCATTCCAGCACCGCCTGGACCTTGCCGGGATCCATGGCCAATCCCTTGTCTGACAGGCGATACCCCAGGAATTCCACCTCCTTGGTATGAAACTGACACTTCTCCAGTTTCACCCACAGCTGGTTGGCTTGCAGCCTGCTCAACACTTCTCTGACGTCTCTCACATGCTGCTCCTCATTCTCAGAATACACCAACACGTCGTCTAAAAGGCCACACAATTCTTGTAAAGCAAAGGCCCCAGGACGTGGTTCATAAACGATTGAAAGGTTGCGGAGCCTGCTTGTAGGCCGAAGGGCATAACCAAATATTCAAATGCCCCTAAAGGGGTGAACATGGTGGTTTTCCATTCATCCCCCTTCCTTATTCGTACCAGGTTGTACGCCCCCCTTAGGTCCAGCTTTGTGAAAATCTTTCCCTTCCGCACCCTTGTCAAAATGTCGTCAATCCTGGGCATAGGGAAGGCCACTGGTTCTGACACTGCATTTAAGGCCCTGAAGTCACACACCAGCCTCGGCTTGTTCGTGTTTTTTATCCACAAAAACACTGGGCTGCCCCCACCGCCCTGGACTCTCTGATGAACCCTCTCTTCAGGTTCTTGTCAATGAACTCTCTTAGCTCCTGCATCTCTCTGTCTGACATGGCGTACAGCTTGCCTACAGGGAGCTGTGCCCCAGGGAGTAAATTGATTTGACAGTCAAAGGGTCTATGCGGGGGTAGTTGGTCAGCTTCCCTTTCGCTGAAGACGTCACGGAGATCTGCATATTGTCGTGGTACCTTCACGTTCTCCGTTACTTCAGTCCCTGCTAGGGTGGCTTGGGCCCCTGCCAAACCCTTTCCCTCTTTGCAGTGTTCTAAGCAATGTGCTGAACCAAAAGAAACCACTCTCTGATGCCAGCCCACCAGCGGATCATGTAACGCTAGCCAGCT